CAAAAAAAGTTGTTACACTGAAATTGACAATAAGTTTGTTGTAATGAGATTTTTTTATAGCATGTACCCTATAGGATTTCTGCCAGCTGGACTTGGAAAAAAGTTTGTTATGCTGCTGAAAAATTTGTTGTATACAGTATTTGTTGTAATGAGATAAGTTTTACTGTAATATGATGTAGGAACCACCTGCAAAAGTGGGTCGGAATGCGCCCTGCTCCTGCTGGTATAGCTTATTGTATTCATGATATACTATACTACAAGATAGAAAACAACTAAGAAGAGTAACATAGGGCTTCACTTCCTTCAGTGAGTGATGCTTGATGGTTCTTTGTTGTTGTTGTTTTTTTTTTCTCGCTTCGCCAGGGTTTTCCTCTGCGGACAGCACCTGGCTTCCGGTCAATGAGAACTACGGCGCCATCAACGTGGCGGCCCAAGAAGAGGAGAGCCTGTTGGACTCCCATCTCAAGATTGATCGGATGCTGCTGGCGGTGCGGAAAACTGACGCCGTCCGCTTCGGCTCCATCGTCTTTCCGGATGAGTTCATAGCAACTGACACACTGGTGTTTTTCAGGTACAGTACTGTACTTGTGTACTGTAGTATAATTTGCAATGTTATATGCTGTGCTGAAGTTACGAGGGTGAAACGGAAAAAATATTGGATCTTGGGAAACGGATTTTCTTTTTCTTTTTTTTTGCTGATGTACAAAAATTTAAAATCGAAACTTAGATGCAAGTAACTCAATTTTATAGTGAATGTTTATGTTCGCTTATTTTCAAGAATTGTGTAATTAACTGAAATAAAAACAGTTATCCTGAGATGGGTGGGGGGAGGGGAGGTATTGTGTATGTTTATATTGGCATCATTATATAGGATATATAGACGAAGTGAAAATTCAAAAATGTACATTAAAATCATTCTACAGTAGAATTGTTACATTAAGTGTCATCAAAACAAATTACATTATTGTCAACAAAATTTTCATTTTTGGGTCACTGCCCAATTGCCACAATGTTATTTGAGTTCTTTATACTGTAATGAACTTTTTGTTATAAGAAAGCTATATTTCTCAGGTTCCAATGCCTTTTCTGTATAACAAGATTTTAATGTACAGCATATAAAAACTTCCTGCAATATACCAATGTTACAGCAGCTGGAATGACAGGTATAAAATACCTCATCTATTGGCAAAAAAATACTGTATATTCTCCATTTTCAACCCACTGATTTCCATTTCTTCTCCAGGACTTTAAACCAGCCAGGAACTTCATCTTACGCTGTTCTGATCAACTTTTCTGAAACTGACAAGGAAATACCCTTGGGACAAGTTTCAGGATTTCCATTGGAAGCCTTAGTAGTCACAAGAAGCAGTGGCTCTTCGAATCTTGATACTGCCCCAGGGTGAGTAAAGAAATATACTGCAATTGATTAAAAAAGCTAATTTTCTGAGGTCAAAATTGCAGTACCACGTGTTTTAGTTAATCTTCAAGAAATTCCGAACGCACATTTCTAGATTATGCATTCCCAAAATGCTCTTTACAGAGCCCTCACGGCTAATTCTCCATGTGAAAAGAGAGGATTCCTTGACTCCCTTCAGCAGAAATACAGTTTATGTAAGAAAAAATGGAATCGACTGCAGAGTATAGATTCAGAGAAAAATCAGCAAGGTATTCAAAGTGGAAGCCGCTGAAAAGGGCCATTTATAATCGTTGGAAGAAAAAATAAAATAATGCCTACATTCTTTGTAGTAGGCTCTGCTAAGAAAATTAATGTGATCAGAGAAGGGCTTCTTAAGGGCTAGTGAGAAATACCTCCATGATGTATGAAACGGTTAATAAACTCTGTATAAGAAGTCCTTCATACTCTTAAATTGTTCAGAATAATCGAACTAACATTGGATTTCTCATTTTTTTCAGCTCAATTGTGCAGACAAGCAGCCTTCTTCTGGAACCACATCAAGGCATTGTGATAGAATATGAGATGTGAAAAATCTGATGCAGTTTGAAAAGACACGGAGGCTAACAAAATCGAGCACAAAAATAAATACACAAAGTTTGCACAGACAAAAGCAAGTTTTGTTGTTTCTTCCAGATCTCCTTACAAAGATTTCCGACGTTCACTTGAAAAAAAAAAACGAGCAAGACAAGACAAACTCCGATGCGGAATCAGAATGGCTTGGAATACGAGCTTTTAAAGCACAGTTACGATATCGACTCGCAAGACACAATAAGAAAGCCAGGGCTTCTCTTCGAAATACACTCATTAACATACCTCTCGAGTCAAGGCCTGCTGGGGTAGTGAGAACTGAACAAGAAAACCAAATTCCTCTCAAGTTTTTCCCCGCCCAACGACATCCAGACAGAAAGGTTCGCCTTTGTTTTTTTTTTCAGTACTCGTTCTCCTCCTCTCCTTCTTCAGTCGAATCAATCCCCACCTCTTCATAGTCCTTCTCCAAGGCGGCCAAATCCTCGCGAGCCTCAGAAAACTCGCCTTCTTCCATGCCTTCACCCACGTACCAGTGAACAAAGGCACGTTTGGCGTACATCAGGTCAAACTTGTGATCGAGTCTGGCCCAGGCCTCGGCAATGGCAGTAGTGTTGGACAACATGCACACGGCTCGCTGCACTTTGGCCAAATCGCCGCCGGGCACGACTGTGGGCGGCTGGTAGTTGATGCCGACTTTAAAGCCTGTGGGGCACCAGTCAACGAACTGGATCGTGCGCTTGGTCTTGATGGCGGCAATGGCGGCGTTCACGTCCTTAGGGACAACGTCGCCGCGATACAGCATGCAACAAGCCATGTATTTACCTGCGGAAAACAACAGACCATAGGCTGTCAAATACACCAGTATTTACCACGTAAACAACACGCACCCCACTTTTCTGAGAAATTGTTGTTGTTGCATTCAAAAATTCCCCTGAAGCACAATAGAAATTAGTGCCAGCTCATACTTTCAAACCTTTTTTTCTTTCGGCATTTGAAAAAATACAGAAATCATTTCCAGGTAACGCAATTAGCATAAGAGAAACTTTTGGAAAAAATTTATAATCGAGCGTTTTGATACGACCCGCAATTCAAAGGAAAACTTTTTTGTGTACTCAACTTCCTGAGGAATAAAAATATACATAACCCCTAACCAGTTAGCATTTAAAAAAAAGACAAGAAGCAGGCCTATTTTTCATGTGCAATACATTTTCTCAATTTTTAATTTTGACCTGGACACAGTTTTCTTATTGTGCACTGAAATTTCAGACAATACGTTCCATCTCCATACATTTAACAAAGGGAATTTAAAGATGAAATACCCCACTTCCCATCAGTCATTATCCGCACATTTCTTCTCAAACTTGTTAGGCTATCCAGTGTTAAAAGCATTTTATATTTTCGAGAAAATGAGGTAATCGTAATTTACAATCACTATACTATAATACGACAAAGCAACGCCACACTCGAGGGACTAAATACTTGAACTGATCGAAAAAAAAAATGCATGCAGTGTTCTGGCAACACTCATCATCACTGCCAATTTTCATTTCTTAACACCTGTACTGTACGACAAACTTATCAACTCTTATCAAACTCGACTCTCCATGAAACGATTTTAATTCATCTACAACGATTTTTTTCCGCATGAGAAATTTTTTTTCTCTATCCATCTCATAAGGGCTCTCTACAACGAAATTCTCTCGGACAGGAATTTTATCCTGATCCCGTGAATTATGTAGAGAAAAAATCTGTAATATAAACCCTCTTCTATTCATCCCAGACAAACAAAGCCAACCCATCCAGAAAGGTTTCAAAGGTACTGTATCTCTCAAAGGATATCATCAGTTGTCCCACACACAAATTTTCCCGAGGTTTCTCACACAATTACTTCGGTCAAAATTTACCTCCACAATATAATTGTGCTAATAACATCAAATATCTTTTGGTTCGGGAAAAACCTGACGTGGAAAAGTGTAAATACAACGATTCTATAGCAATTCATTTTCTGAATTTCATTTCAACGATTTTAAGATGCATTGGGTAAAGTGGAACACAACTTTACTCAATCTTTCGTCCTCCTATTTCTCAAATCATCAAAAATGACCTAGTAGAAACTTCTGAATATGAAAGCAACAGGTTTCAATAATCCCGGAATTTCTCGCAAACTTGGTGTCAAGCAACATTATTACGTGCGACCGTGATGAGAGATTTTGTAAGAACCACAATAAATTGAAGAATAAAATCGAGACTCACCATGACGAGGGTCGCACTTGACCATTTGGTTGGACGGTTCAAAGCAAGCATTCGTGATTTCAGAAACAGACAGCTGCTCATGGTAGGCCTTTTCAGCCGAGATGATCGGGGCTTAATACTCAGTATTAATAATTATGTTTCGAATAAATTCAAGGCCTGAGCAATTAGGCAGCACGACAAATGAACTGGGCAAATTTGTCTTCAGCACATCCACTCCGCATGATCAGCAGCAGACAAAAATAAAAACACTGACCCAGAAGATCTGCTGATACCATGACAGAATTAATCACTCCCAAGATGGAAAACATTTCTACATGCAAAATATAATCCAACCTTTGGCTCAGAGAAATTGGGAAAAATTATTAAAAATACTTTGAATACAGTACCACAGAAGACTGTCAGTATACTGTACAGTTGAACCTCAATATAGGTTGTTACCTCCCTAAGTCAATTTTTTTTTCAAGTCCCTGTCTGAATTCCCTCAGAAACAATGCATTGAAAACTTCTATAACTCAAAGAGTTTTCCTCTAAAACCTCCACAAGTTGAAGTTTTGAAGCCTTTTGGCTATCATTTTCTTGACCCAGGAAATAAAAAACAGTATTTTATGTGTTTTGAAAGGATGTGGCAGACTAGATTGGGCAAATGAACCCCTGTCTCCAAGTTAAGCATGTCAACTCAATTTAGAAGCAATTTTAGGCCCAGAATATCACTGTTCACAATTAGTGCAATAATTATTCCATGTTTCCTACAACAAAAATCCTCGCTTAGTTGGTTCCATAACTCAAACAACTGTATATAACTCAATCAAAATTTTTGGCTGGTCCCTTGGAATTCGACTTAGCGAGGTTAGACTGTCCTTAAAATTTCAATCCCGTGGCTTCAAAGAGCTTCGAACTCATACGCACAATTTTAAAGATTATCAGCAGGAGACACGCGAAGATTTGGACCACGCACAAAATGTTCGGAGCCATTTTCCGGACGCGCCGAAGAAAGATGGAGAATGTGCAGATCCGCAGGGGAACTCACCAACAACAGACGGCTCCAAGTCAACGAAGACAGCTCTTGGAACGTGTTTGCCAGCCCCTGTTTCACTGAAGAAGGTGTTGAAGCTGTCATCGCCTCCTCCAAGAGTCTTGTCGGAAGGCATTTGTCCATCCGGCTGGATGCCATGCTCGAGGCAGTAAAGTTCCCAGCAGGCATTACCAATCTGGACTCCGGCTTGGCCGACATGAACAGAAATGCATTCCCTCTGAAAAGCCACGACGGTTCACAACTATAAGTCAAAATGACCCGAACTTCGGAATCCACACCAATATTCACCATGATTGAAAGTTAACGAACGTTTGTGTGAAAATTGTAATGTAGGCACAAGGGAGATCTCGGGAAGCAACGACCGCGATGGAGAGCTACCACTGTAACGAACGGAGCACTCTTCACAAAGCCAATCGGCTGGATTCCGGAAAAACCTATGCATAAACCATTAAGAACAATTGAATCATTCGTGAAAATGGCACAACCTCATTTCCACTCGGCACATAATCGGGCAGCCCATCCTGCTCGCGAGAAAGATCTGCGCCAGGTTGCCGATGCCCCAGGAACATAAGAGGAATTTGAACTGCTGTCGGGGCGGCGCGCGGACTTGTCGGGGCAGCTAGCCAACGTTGAACCTGTCTGCGAAGTGTCAGGCACGCACCGGTACAAAACCAGGATATCCAAATGCGTGAACTGCATCCGACCCGCCGCACAATGTAGTACTGTACTGTGTACTTTATTTACACACTAGCATTGGCACTGCTGTTTCTATTCAAACAGTGACGGCAAAATTAGATGTGTGTGACATATTACTACATTAGATGGCGCTGAAGATTTTTTTTTTTTTTTTAAATCCAAGGAATTATTAAACTTTATTCTTGAACATTTATGTTTGCATGAAGCTTCAGATATTAGAAAAGTCATTCATGACACCAAAAGTACATAGCCTGGACTTTCTTGAAGCAGTGTACGTACGGTGTCATCTCATGCATGGATGAGGCAAACTTACTACTTGAAAACCAAAAGGACTTATCAATAATAAAAGGTATTATGCTGCCCTTTCCAATTAGTTTAGTTGAACTATATATTACTGATTCAAGCATTTCAAATGATCCTTTAAAAATTGCGCAGACATAAAACCGTAATAGAGGCACCTTAAAAATCAGCACATGATTTCCGTTTTTAATGTGAATAGAAAAGAAGTGCGGACGTAACATATATATAAATACAGTATAAAAGTTAACACAGTTCAGGATTAATTACAGTTGACCCCCAATGAAAATTTTGTGAAATTTTTGTCGTAATTAATTTAGTGCAAACAAGTTAATTTATTTTGCACTTGAGCCGGGGAAAAGTTCACGCTTTTATGGAGTTTAAACAACAACAAAAATTATGCATACAGTATATTACTATAGTCCCACAAGGATCTCCTTATTCTCCTCTACAAAAATGCTAACTAAAAATAAAAATTCGCTACAGCATGCGGAAGTTTAATCTCATTTCAGCTATTCAGCAAAAACCTGATGATGATCGTTTTTTATTTTTTCACATTTTTTCCCTGTTTTGTTCCTGGAAAACGTTTTTAGATTTTTTATCTTGACAACTACTACAGCTGAAATACTGTACCCGTTCTTATTTTTGGTGGGGAAGGCCGAATAAAGATTTGCCATTTCTCATCTCATATGCGAAAATGTTTACTGCCGGGCGTCCACTTTTCAGTATGATCCTCATGTGCAATAAAGAATTCTATGTATTACATTATTTCGAAGAATTGTCACAATAATTCTTGTTTATTGATTCAACACAAACGATTGACACGAACGGCACATCGCAACAGCAATACAAGATTAGTCAAGTACAGTACAGTCAATAGGTCAAGAGCTCAGAAGCGAACGAGGAATGCTTCCTGCATCCGCAGTCCCACGTCCGGCGGGCTCGGCTGGGCTGTCTTCGAGGTTTGCTCACGCTGGGATAGATGTAATCGTAAGAGAATGCGATCCTCATTGTACAGGACAGTTCTGTACTATACTGTTGATGAAATGCTCTTAGTTTCCAACGTTTTACAAATGTCTGCGCTCAGTACACTCTGCATCTTTCCGCCAGTGAATGTTGCTGTGAATTTTAGGTTAAGGAGGACGCGCGAACTTATTCTCTTCAGGAGATCGTTTCTGTCATCAGTGAATCCAGGCAATTTGATTTTTCCGTTACCAACCTTCACGAAGGTTTGATGATGGATGCCTGTGTGCGATTTGATGAAGAAATTAGCTTCGATATTCTAGGATAAGCGGTGCAATATTATTTTTACGTGAAGCTGGAATCGAAAATGACGGCAAAAGTGGATACAGATACACAGAATGGCGCTACTCACGAAAATTTCTCGTGGAGTCAAAGTATATTCGAAGTAGATATGAAGATTACTGTTCCGAAGTCCGTCTTGAAAGGGAAGCATGTGAAGGTTTCTTTGAAAGGAAGTAATCTTCGGGTGCAGCTCGTCGCTACCCCAGAGACTGAAATATTGGTTGAAGGAGAATTGGAGTACGACATTGGTGGCGAAGATAAATTGTCTTGGACGCTCACCCCGGGAGAGTATATTTTGGTAAGTGGCTGACGAGACTATCCACGACGAATTATCAAGACCAATGCGCTTCCAGCTAACATTGGAGAAACCGTTCAAAGTCCAAAAGATGTGGACACGATTGTTCAAATGGGAAACTGAGTTAGAAGCTCAGAATCTATTAAACGAAGCACCGTTCGAATCGCTGGAAGAAGAAGAGCAGCAAAAAATCCAAGAGCTCATGTGGAAGCAGCGCCAAAAGTATTTGGTACAAGAAGGACTTGCCGGTAAAGAAACCCTTGCAACAACGCAAGATCAGGTGCGCATTTACACTTCTCAATCAGTTTGTGTACATGTTACGATGGGAATATTTTATGCATTCATTTCTTTTCAGAAAACGCTAGCAATGCTGAAAGAAGCCTGGGACAAAGATGGTTCCCCATTTAAAGGGACTCCTTTCAATCCTGACGTTTTACAGTCGATGGGGTCGATTTTTTCCGATAAAGCGTGATGGATTTCCGGGAAGATACGCTTTACCGTGATCTGATTGTTGTTTGGAATGACGTCTTGCCTGTTCGATCCCCTTACTTTACTGTTTCAAGGAGGGCAACGCGTAATTTATTTTTCCGTGCGAAGACTTAATTGTGGTTTAATCATGTTTTATTCATCTCCGGTCAGGTTTCGCTGCGAGTCATTTTATTTGGTCTGTGTGTGGTTGGGTGAATCACTTGAATATTTGACGTGCTTGCGGATGTTGACTACCGTGAAGATGTCGAGTTGAAATGCCAAGTGGCCGAATGCCGCCTGCGATCCAGCGATACGTCGGCCAATCGGTCGAAGAAGAATACGGCATCCGGGATGTGTGGGCAGAAAATCTCGAAGATGAGATGCACAACCTGCGCTCGATCGTGCAGAAATACAAGTTCGTGGCGATGGACACGGAATTTCCGGGCGTCGTTGCTCGACCCATAGGTCATTTTAGGGCGAACACTGACTATCAGGTTTGAATCCTTTCATTTTGGAACTTTGAGGGAAAAAATGCCTGCGTTATAAGATGTATGTGTTTGAAATCTCTTAAGCTGAGGCCTGCTAAGTGTCGAGGTGGTTTCGTTGCATATTATTGAATACACTACTGTGGGATAGCTCTGCGATTCCTGTTCCTGTTACCAGTTGGTCTCCATTTTCGTCAAAATTTATTCGAGTGAACATGAATTACTGTACTTGGATAAGCTCAATCTGAACGTAGATTACTTGTAGATATACTGCATCAGTTTAAATCAACTTCAACATTGCGATTTTGGTCAATTAGTGTACGTCTCGAGATTTTGTTGTTCTAATTCTCAGCTGCAAGAGGTTTTGTAGTATGAGTTCATAAATAGAAAAATGAAATTCCACTGAATTTTGACCCCTAGCATCATGAAACGAGTCAACTTTCTTTGGAACCATCTTAAGTTCATCAGTTACTTCGGAGTGATGATGTAGGTACATTTATTCTGATGAAAGTCATACGAATGAACGTTCCTGTGATTAATTCTGATTTATTTATTCATAAATGTAATAATGAAAGTCGACTGAGTGTTAGCCACTAGCATCATGATACTAGTCAACTTTCCTTCGAAGGATCTCGAGTTTATTTTGCTTCATCAGTTGCTTCGCAAAGATGATGTGGGCGCAGTTATTTTGATAAACGTTCGACTGAGCCTCGAGGATGATCATTTTGTCAAATTATGATGCGAATAAACGTTCCTGCGATTGATTATGTTTTATTGATTTATTTTTATTCGCAGTATCAACTGCTTCGGTGCAATGTGGACATACTTAGAATTATACAAGTTGGACTGAGCTTTTACAATGAGCACGGAGAGCTGGCGCCGGGGGTCTCGACGTTTCAGTTCAACTTCAAGTTCAGCATGACAGACGACATGTTCGCGCAAGATAGTATCGACTTGCTGACCAACTCGGGGATTCAGTTCAAAAAGCACGAACAGAGTGGAATTCAACCGGACCGTTTCGCCGCGCTGCTGCTCACGTCCGGGGTCGTGCTAATGGACGACATCTCTTGGCTGTCCTTCCATTCCGGGTTCGATTTCGGCTATCTCCTCAAGATGTTGACGAACGTGAAATTGCCGGAAGAGGAGCACGAATTTTTTGATCTCCTGAAACTCTACTTTCCGTGCGTCTACGACGTCAAGTACCTGATGCAGTCGTGCCAGAACCTCAAGGGCGGACTGCAAGAGGTGGCTGATCAATTGGACTTGAAGCGGGTCGGACCGCAGCACCAAGCTGGCTCCGACTCCATGCTCACGGGCCGCGTGTTTTTCCGGCTCAAGGACATGTTCTTCGACGACGACATCGACGACGCCAAGTACTGCCGGCACTTGTACGGGCTCGGCTCTTCGGTCTATGGCCGGGACGCCTTGGCCAATAACAACAACAACAACAATTCTTCCTCCTCCAACAATAACAGCAGCAGCGGCAACAACGCCAACAACAACAACAATAATGGCGTCAGTGCAAGCACTAACGGAACGACGAGTGGCGTCGAGCAACCGACGACAAACGGCGATTCAAACAGTGGAGCGGAGGAATCCGGTGACGCGAAAGACGAAAGCTCGGACAAGGCGACAAAAACCTGACCCTTCATCAATGTTTTTTTTCTCTCCCATCTATCCTTGCGAAAATCTGTCCAAGAAAAATTTGTTTCTTCTGCCGGATGAGAGCATTTGAGAATGTCGAATTTTTCTTTTTTTTGTTTGTTTTTGTTTTGGAGAAAATGTGTAGAATTTTGTGGAGGATTCTCTAATGCTCTCATTGCGTAGCGATGTACTTTTTTTTCCCTGGTTTTCCTTTCGATTGGACGCGGGAAATGCCTCTTCATTCCTGGGGACGTTTTGGTTTCGTCCGCGACTCATTTGAGGGGTTTTTTCAATCGCGACAACCGCTGACCTCGGGCTTCTCTTATTTTTTTTGTTTAACTCTCTTGACAATAAGCGGAATTCTCAGGTTTCTCAAACCCGGAACAAAAGAAAGCGTTCTTGATTTTTTTCTTTCTCGTGCAATCGTCCGTTTAAATCATTTCCTCTGTTCTGACGAAACTTCTGAAGACTGAGTCGAATTCACTGTAAAAAAAAGAAGTATCGTGTTCTTTTGGTTGGATGGTTGTTAAGTTCCTTCTAATTTCGATGTATTTTTCGCGCTGATCTTTAAACATAATTTCGACGGAACAATCCTTGAAGCTTGATTTTCTCTTCAGGCATTGTGATGATGGATAATGATGAACGTATAGCATTTGCTTCATCGTTTTGCCTTATTACTGTGCTGAAGTCTGAGCATTGTTGATTTGAAAAGAAGAGATAATCCCATGAAGTTTCCTCTTATGTCCGTGGAAGGGCCTTGAGCGATTTAAATTCGTGGACGTGAAAGATTGTTGCCAAAATGTTTTGCGAAATGTTCGAATGCTGTCCGGGGATGTGGATATGATCCAAAATATGTTATGCACAATGATGACTTCCCCAAAGAAGTAATTCTCTGTCGTAAAGCTTTTCAACATATTATATGATTCTTTTAATTGTCGAAAAGAAACGTGAAGAGGGATGATCTCGAATTAAATTTAATCTTAGGGTAAACGCAAGTTTATTTTAATTCGGACAATTTGTGGATTTACATGAATTGTTCACTGTTCCGCTGATATTTTCAAATCGGATCATTCGTATGTAATTGAATTCACTGTCGACATTGAATGAACAGTTCGGAGACTCATTCTTTCAAAAGTTTTCGTCACCATTCGCTCCCAATGAGACATTTTCCGCGATATTTTTTCGAAGTGTCCGTGATGTCTCAGTGCTATTTTCTTAGCAGATACTTTCGTGAAAAGAAGAGAATTGTGAAGTGTGAGACGTTGAAGTGAATTTGATTCTCGTTGGCGGATCCGCCTAAATCCGTTCGATGCGTGGCGGAGCAGCATTATGATTGCGCCTGGGATCGACTTTGGTGAGTTGACAGATTTATTTCTACATGCCGTAGTGTGCTGTACGTTTTTTGCTTTTTTTTTGTTGCCCCGTTCGTTTTTTCCTTGCTGATTGTTCCGGGGCGGTGATCACCATTCCGGATGCGTGTTTTCGGCGCCCACGAGCATACGGACGCTTCTAATTGCGACTGTTTCGGATTCGCTTCGGAAATCACGTCATTGGGGGACGGGGGCTTTCGAAAAGTTTTTACGCTGATTCGTTATGAACTTTCGAAGAGCAAGTTCGAAACGTTGTGATCGACGTTTTTCGTTTTTTCCATGAGGTAAATGTGCATCACTGGAACCCGTGCTTTGAAGAGTACTTGTACTTAATTCGATGAAAAATCGGGCGAAGTTTTTCGTCTGCATAGAAACCTGTAAAATGATAGTTTTTTGCAAATTACTTTTTTCTGGAATTAGTATTACTGCATCGTTGAATTTATAGAAGCTCAAGAGAAGTGTTTTTTTCAGAATCATACATTTTTGACGGGCCAAGAAAATCTATGTAAATGAGTAAACCGTTAATTTTGGCGAGAATTAAAAAAAATTTAGTTTTCATGGGGTTTTGTTTATGCGATGGTGTGAAATTTGTGGGTTTCGTGGGGAAATTTAAATATTTTACATAAACTTTTGGAATCGGGGACGGATTTTTTTTTCAAGAAATCGCAGGTAACATCCGCAAAAGTCACGGAATATCCCATGAAGAAATGCTGTCGAGTGGATTCCAGAAGACGGCAGAATTTTTCTTGTTCAAGAGGGTTTCATTTTAGATTTTGAGGAAGTTCACCTTTAATTTTTGTTTTCCTATTGAGAGCCTTGATTTCTTGGGCAGTTTTTGGAATTCCCTTCCACTCTTAATTATCATTTCGTATTGGATAATTAGATGAAATGCAAATTCAACGAAAATTTCCATTCTCTCGAGATCATCAGAACTGGATTTTATCAGTAGTTCTCGGATATCGCAAAAGTTTTTCGTAGCCCAAGTATGCTTGTTATAAATTGAATTTCACCAACGCAGAGAAAATGTCGCGGCTGCGCAGTTGTATTATTTTCTGTGAATCGTAATCGTAGCTAGATTCGTTTCCCCCCTTTCCTTCTCCTCGCTGAGTGCATTGTGATGTCCGATGAAATCGTCCTATTCTTCCTTTTTTTCTTCTTTTCATTGCAACGATGCGGCGGGAAATAATCTCGATTGTACAAAATTATCTCATCTCTATTGAAAGGCCTTTTTGTGGGTGATTTAAATTCGTTCTGTGGACGGACGCGCTTCAGTTCTTTTTTTTTCAACACTTTACGATTGACGATAATCTATCTATGAATGATTAAAATTGTTCGAAGAGTTCGATATATTGGCGGAATAAGCTTATACAGTATTTCCGGAAGATTTATTTACAATGAGACCCCGACCTATGGACAATTCGACTTAGGGACACTTCTCTGAAATTTTCCAAGAAAAAATCAACATTTTTTCAACTTTTTTTATCTTTTGAACAAATCAAGCTACAGTATTTATATTCACAAAAATGAAAAAATATTTCATGATGAATTCACTACTGTATAATTCATAGTTAAAAGCAAGCTGATTTTTTGCTTTTTTTGCAGAGATTGTTATCATCTGTGCATATTCTAGCAAGACTTATTCTTTTTCTTTGCTTTTTGATCTCTTTTTGATACTAAAAGATCACAAGCTCACATTCTGTGTGGTTTTTTCTGAATTGTTGTTTTCTACAACTTGAAGTTGAGGGAAACAATTTTCATCACATTTTTTGAGGACTTCTTTCATTTTTGAAAAAAGAATAACCCATTGAATACATTAGCATTGAAGTCGATTGGAAAATTAGACTCGAATTAGGGACATTTCGACATCAGAACACTCTTGATGCACCAATTATGTCCGCATCTCGGGGTCTCTCTGTATTACTGCGTGAAAGAGGAATAAACACGGTTTAATTCAATGCCAGAAATATCGTGGGCTTGGATTTGAACTTTTGAAGTGCTAGCATTTTTGAATAATTTTGTCAAAAATGTGTGCTAGGTGTCCGAATTTAATTCTGAGTCGGTTAATTGTTCAACTGAAATGCTTTACTCCAAATTGCGCAAGACTACTGAACCTAATCTCAATTTTCAGGATTTTCTTCTTGTAACCTTTTTCTGTTGCTCGCATGAATCTTGAAGAATTTGAAGAGCTAACTAATGTTACAGGTAACACCGTTTTAATCTGCAAAATATGCACGAATCAAGGAAATAATCAGCGTTGAAAATGTTCTCGCAGCATTCCGAAAACTAAGGGCTGTGGTAATAAATTGCAGAAGTGTTGTTTGCACCGTACTGATCAGCTTTTCCGCTATTCAATTTTCTACGCGGGTAAATGTTGAAAATTGAAAGATTCTGTTTGATTGGTTTCCCTTCTTTCTCTTGGTCAAAGATTAAGATAATTTTATATCAGTTGTATCCTCATGCCAAGAAAAGTATTACGGTTCGGTTTGGGCCTTGTGACGTGTTCATTTGATGGGAAAGATTGAGATATTCGATCAAGAACTGCAGATGTACAATATTCTTTTTTATTTGTTTTATTATAAAATACTAAATTATTTTTCGAGGTGAAATGATTTTATCTTAACTGATCTGTGTCTAATTCCTCATTAGAGCATGCCAACAATTGAAATGCAGTGTTTTTGTCATCTGATCACCAGCCAGACGAATGAGATAATTGTATATTTTAAGCGCGGTTACTTTATGATTCTTCGTGTTTCGAGCGTGCTTATTTTTTTTAATGGGCGTCATTACTTGATGAAATGATGATTCCATGATTTTGTTTCATTCGCTTTCGAGAAAAGCACAATTATGTTTTCATAAACTGACCGACGATGGAAAGGGAAATCGGAACGAAAGTCTTTGGTTGACCGCGAGGTTCCCAGGTTTACAAGTGGCTCAAAAATTCGTCGCTTCTGGTACGTAAAATGTGAATCTTTTTTGTTAAATCACTCTCCGACAGTCACCGGCGACATCGTGGCGATGGTCGTTGTTTTTTATTTTTTTTTTTACCCTTGTAGTACTGCACCGTAATTATTTCTTCGTAGGAAACCTAATCTGGATTTGTCCGGAGGCGCTTACCATATTTTCAGCTTACTTTCGAAGAATTTCTCGAAACTGGTTCAGCTTTAAAAAAAAATCGCGCTGACCCTAAAAGAAAAAAGAAAAGAAAGAACGCTGAAGATGAGGTAAGGTCGCTATTTTGGGCGGTATTGAATGCACATACGTATATGTGGGTATAGGCATACAGAATAGTATTGGAATTGTTTATGCGTTTGCATCAGCATGATTTGCTCTTTCACCAATTTTGAAATGTGAAGGTTTCAAGCAATTTTCAAAGACAATTTTTTTCAGAGTATGGAACTGCAATTGCACGCCACCGTTTTTGTTTTGCATCTTAACGTTATTCAGTTGTGTAATATTGTACAGTATTTATGTTGAATTGGTATTGGAGTTGACATTTTCTGATAATGTCTGAAAGGAGGAAACGAGGTTTAAATGAAGTTTAAATTTTACTAACTTTTTAGAGCCTTTACTCTGTTCCGTATTTTCTCAGAAATATCGCAAAATTTGGTCTTGTATCCAATTGTACACCAGAGCTCCTTTTTATTGTTCAAATGTGGATCATGCACTGTAATGTGCAGTGACTGTATGTTTTAAATTTGTATTTTTTTACAGGTCCCTTGAAATTTGACTTATAGAGGTTTGACTGTATAGTCCACCTTCAGTAATTTTTCTGCTGCTGTCGTGTTCTGTCTTGTACTTGAGTTTTGCATTCGCAATTCATCCGTTTGTGGTACGTACGCGCTGTTTTGGTCACACGCTGTTTTGGGACGCGCTCAACTGTCCTGGCATCATGTTGGTCGGATGCCCGCCGGGATTCTCCTCCTTTCACCGGGTTTATTATTTTTTTTCCGCCCTGGGTTTTTGCCTTGCGTGTTTTGTCTGAGTTGCTGCTGGTCGCGGGGCGGAAGTGAACATGACGAGGAAACCAAGAGGGAATTTTTTTTTCACTTCCTTCTCTTGTGCGTGAAGAGAAGAAGCGGGTGTGGAATGCTAAGTGCTGTTGGCTTAAGTAACTGGGTTCTTTTTCTGGCCGCGGGTTGGAACGTGAATATTTTGTTATCAATTTTTGCAGTGCGCGAGAGTGGAATTTTTTCCTTCAAGAATTTTAAAAGTGCTGTGAGGCCCTTGAGAAAAAACGTGATGCTCAGTATCACTCGACCAACTGCAAAAACCAGAGATTTTTTATTATTAATTTCTTGGTGAGAATATTCTACGAAGTTCTGATCCAGTATCGGTTCTGAATTGAAGACGTTGCAACGTATTTAATTTCAAAATGCGCCGCTAGACTATTACAAGATCGAGTTTTTAAATACATCATGTATTTTTTTCATTTGTGGAATCACGTAAAAAATGGATGCGGAATATTGTATGAATCGAGTGACCACAATTGTCTGTGATGCTTCATAAGGAGTTTCTTTTGATGCCTTATAAGGAACGCATACAACGACTTCAAGTCTCGAATACTTGATGCTTTACAGTGCTATGTTTTTTTTTTCTCTTGAGCCCTCAATTGAGACGTCGATCTAGAAACTCATTCTAGAAATGTGTCCGAAAAGTTGCATTCGCGTCAACGTAAGTGAAGCAAGTTTTCTTGGGGAGTCTTTCGACTATTGATTTGAAACAACTTTTGTCTTCACGTTTACTCGAAAGATGTTTTGGCATGTTCGTCAATTTTTTGTGGGATTTTCCTGATGACGACATAGCCGTTTAGAAGTGTTTCACCGTGTTTGGAAGTAATTTTGGGGGAAGAAAACTGAGATAAATTAAAGGTATTCCCGGTTTGATTCACGCAGTGATCGGTTATAATGAGAAGTCAGCAATTTATTAATGTAGTAATGTAAAGCGATTGAGAATGACTAATTGATTTAAAGCACTGTACTGTACTTGAACGGTTCTTGAACTTGGTGATGGAATGACGAATCCGTTCAAGATCCCTCGGAAAATTTTCCTTTTGAATCAATCAATGAATTACTGATTTACACCTTCAAGGAACAGCAGAAAACACTCAGGGACACGAGAAACATTGCTGAATACAGTACAGTACAATTAAAATATCACGAGAAGATGTCTGCCTATTTTCCCCAGTGTGATCACGAACATTTTTCTTGTCGAATATCCCGATCAGCGTCTACTACCGAAAGCCAAAAATCTGTGACAACCCAAATCTTACATTCGAAAAATGTATTCTGCGAAGAGATCATTGTCTTGCGTACCACTTAACTCCACTGTAGTACCTTTGTTACGTAAGCTGTACGTGGGAAAGAGTTGCTTTCGAAATCCCCCGTCTCTTCATACGTGTTGTGCAGGGGAAGTCTTCATGCGAAATAATACCCATGTGATGTATGTTTTTTTTTCTTGTGCAAGTGGAAAAAAGATATACAGTATATGTAGATATACTGTATATCTTGTCATTAAGGATGTTGAAAGGTGATATTTCAGGTCACAGAGCGACGGGGGGATTTGTGGGCAGATGACGGGGTTCCCCCCATGGTTCTTGCGATTTTACTGGAAGCGTATTCCGAGCAGAGAGATTCTGTTGTGCTTAGTGGCGTCGTTTATCATGTGCACTACAGTACATGCATTTACAGTAGTTAAGCGTCCGTTTAGCGACGAACCCGGCGTGAACCTGAAGCTCGTTATTCTGTAGGTCAGTGTTGCCATAACTCAGATTTGGTTTTTATTTCTCATACAATTTGCTGACGGATGAATGATGAGTAAGAGAGTCTTTCGTGGCAGTTCACTTTTTCTTTATTTTTAGGGAAAGGAGATACTGAATTTTTTCGTGTGAAAAATCGAATCCTAGGTGAAAATTGAGGTGGAGCGCGTGTGAAATCGTTTCGTTTGGTCATTTGGAGCAGGAATTTTTCAAATTTTTTTGGTGAATCTTTTTGCGATTGGAACTTTGAAGCTCAATTGTAAAAAATCGACCGTATTTTTTTTACCTCTGTTGCGTTCAACTTTTTTCATGAACATGTAAGTCCGTGTTCAACTTTTTTGAAACTGATGTAAAAAAAAAGTTCAAGGACTATTCTGCGTACCTCCAGCGGGTACGGGTACCTTTGGTTGAACAGCCTTGATTTAGATTAGAGTACATTATTTATACGCGTTTTCAAGAAGCACTTTTTATTGAGGGAAATAAAAGAAAAAGGAAAAATGCTGTCGTGCACACGTCGCAGCAGTCCGGATTTTCTTGGCATTACCTGGGGCGTGTGTATTAGAAAAAGCTCCGCGGGTCGGCGGTGAAATTTGAAACCGGGTCACGAATATGTCTTCTTTTGGGGATCCTAATAAAATCCGGCTCTTTATTTTTAGATGTGAAATTCTATATTCAAGGTTATTACGTTTTTTTTTTTTTAAGGAGATTTTCGGTTGCAACGCGTGTGGAACATATTGGTTCGGACGAAAAGTCTGCTGGAATACAATTTCGGGAAGGTTCGCGTACTACATTCAGGAAATATTTTTTGAGAGATGATGCAATTGATTTTCCTGTTTTTTTCTAATTTCTAATGTTTCTCTTTTAAATTTTCAATCTTGATGAATAAATTGCATAGAATTGTCACGAAATAGGATCGAGTAGTTGACAAAATCTAAATACAGTACACAGTGTATTGGATGCAAAAAATCTTGGTACGATCGCAGAGAATTCTTCGGATTATTTTTTAATGTGATTATATAGTTTTCGAAATTTGCTCAAATGTAGAGGATTGAATACGAAAGAGAAGATTGAATATCATTATCTCTTGGGATGAACTTGATGCTCTTCTTTACTTGCGTAACCCGTGAGATGATCTTTCTCAAATATTTCTTCACTTCCCGGATTTTTTTTTTCCTTGAGAATCATGCGATTTTTCGAACTTGAAAAGAAGGATTGTTTTTCATAGCAGATCAAGGTAAAATTCACAGGATGAACATGTTCCTCGATCACCTGCAAAATTTTGGGCATGTCCTGGAGCAGAAGAACTCGTTGAAAGAAAAAATTAGCGTGAAATATTGCATGTTTTGAAAGAAAAAAAAAAAAGCAGCTACGCTTGGAAGAAACAAAGACGTTATTCATCATCAGGAATAGGCTCGAACATTTCCTAGAATATCCGTGCTATATTTTCCGATTCATTCCTCGTTACTCACTCGCCTTCCCTGCGGTTTCAGGGGACTTGATGATTCCTCTTTAGAGTCTGCCTCCTGTGCACGTTTTCGTACGTTTGGCGTATTTCCACTGTCGGTTGTTCCCTGCTGTGGTTGTTCATCTTCTCGTGTCTAAAAAAATTTTTTTTTCGTGCTCCTTTTCACGCGACGCCATGAGTGAGTGCTGCTGTGGCTGGCAAACGACTTTCCTGGCGGCTGTGGGTAGCATTTAACGACGAGGTGGGGAAAAAAAAGGAAGAGGCGAAGATTTAGGTTTGGTACAATCGAAAGATTTTCAGGTTTTTTACGAGTACCGGAGTTCCGGTACTTCACTTGTCGAGTGCTGATCTTTAGTCTGATTCCGTGTTCTGGATGCGGTTCAAAATGCAGGTTAAATTTAGCCGTTACGATCTTCCGGGAACCAGCAAAAAATGAATAAAAATAAAAAGCTGTAACGCTTGAAGAGAATTCCTTGCACTGAAATTTGGTGCCATGTGCGCCAGTGTTGTTGAAATAAGTGCTGAGAAAGCCGCTGTGTGTGAGTTCCTTTTTATCCTGTCCAAGGTTTTGAATCTTGAAATTTTTCGGGTTAAGGTTAACATTTTTTTTCGAGTTTGCACTGTCTTCCTCGATTTTGTAACGAGGAAATTTTTTTCGAGGAATGTGACTGTGTATGAAGCAAGTTAACACGAACTCTGCAGATTTTCTTATTCAGGAATCGCGAACTCGTTTTTTGTTGTTGCTGTTTTAGCTTGTGCGGTAGTATTGTCTGACACATATTTACCCTTTACCCACACCCAGTCGACGATTTTTCAATTTTTTTGTTCTTATTTAAGAATAAAACTATGATGGAAGCACTGTTGACTTTTGGTACAGTATTCTGATTATTGGACTCAAATTCTCTTAGGAACGCTTGACAGTTTTTTTTTAATTGGTAGATGTCGCCTGAATGAGTGAGTACAGTATTTCGTTGAACCAAATTTAAGCAAAGTGGATGATGTCAGCGACACCTACCGGACACTCCAGATATATGTGTGTGAACTTTTGAAATACTGTACTTCATCGCATTTCAATTCAGTGAAAAGCCACGTATCCCATAGCTTAGACATTTCCTTTAATTGAAAAAAAACTGAGTAATTAAATGGCTTGAATCCAGATGTACGTTTTTCGTTTAAATGATAATTTTAGTATTATTGATATTAAAATTCACCTTAAGTAAGGCAAGGTCAGGATGATTTTATTTCGGCAAAATCAGTGTATTTCGCTGGACAGTTGCTAAGTTGGGCCAGGTTCATGTTTCAAGCGACAACTGCCATGATTTGAATAAAAGAAAATGACGAAACGTCTGTGCACTGTAGGGGAATATTATGCTTTTAGCTGAATGGTGATGATCAGAACAGTATATTTGTTTTTACAGCCTTGATGCCACAGTTCCATTGTGACTAACTGGGCCATTCACTCCGGGCGTTGTTTACTCTTGGGAGCACTGTGAGAAATTC